AACATCAGTGCAACAGTTACAATCAGGATGACAGATATATGTTAGAAACTGGCCCAGAATAGATACCTTATTGATTAAATGATTGATTGCTTGAACAAAATTCATCTAAAATTTACTTATTTAATAATTGATTCAGTGATTCAAATGATTGCAGACATTTTAGCAGAGTTTGGCTCATAAAACAAAAAAAAAACAAAAAAATGGGAAAAAAAAAATAAACATAAACTCCTGAAAATGATTTTCCAAATCTTGAATTGCAAACTCATTTCTTTTATTTTTCCCCAAAGTAAAAAATAAATTCCTGTTTGTATTTTCCTTGTAAAATATTGACATGAAAGGTGGATTATTTTATACAATTTTGCTTTTCCAAATTGTTCTTGTCATACGCTATTGGGATATGAGTCATCTGCATTTTACTGTAGCATACTTTGATCTAAATTGCTTGCACTTAAGGCGACATTTAAGGTATCAAGAGAACGTGTTGTATGTCTAGTGACGGTACATGTCTTGCGCGTGTCTGTGAAGGTTTTCAAGTCTAAATGGTAGTATCGGTGGCCACATTTTTAAAAATCTCTTTCATTCACATCTACGGTAATAGAAAATTAATTACAAATTTCAGTTAACAATGAACTACAACTAGATAGCAAACGCAAGTGCAGTGCTTGACAAGGCAATGGTATACGATAATCGCTTTTGAGAATCATACTGTATTATAAAAGAGAAAAGGATTTTAGGATTCAGAAGGTACAAATTTTAGTTTTTTATGATTATTGGATGGGAATCAAAATCGTGGCCAAATCATAATTTTAATTACCGATATTGAGAATGTAATTGTAACCTAACAGTGATTGTTCACTGTAATCCTGGGAATAGGCCTTACAGTATCTAAAATCACTTTATTTTTAAAAAAGGAACAACAGTTTGCCACACATCCAGAAAGCAATAGTCCAGGAAATGAACCGATCCAGGAAAGGCAAAACAAGGAATCAATTGAACAGAACATAAAAATAAAAATAATATTAGTGTTGAGAATCTATATGCACTATACAGAATGTTAGTCTTACAGTTGGAAAATTTTCTGCAAAATGATGTAAAATAAAGTTATTTTCTCTGCAGGGGAAACCCTGCATTAGGGAGTGGGATGAGGACACGTCCTGAGTGTTAAATGATTACTCCAACCCCTGTAACTAAAACAAGAAACCTACAATTTTTTTCATTACAAGCGCATACAAAAACCTTACCAAGAACTAAGGACAATTTTCTTTTTTTGTTAGGGTTGTTATAAAGAGGTACTCTTTTCCGTAATAATACAGTATTAATAACAGGACAATTTCTGATCCCAAAGTTATCCCATTAATAAGGTATCAACTGTTGTTACTTCTACCCTTTCCCTGTACATTACATCCTGACCTTTCGTATATTAGATTATTGACACAGCTGTTTAAAAAAATTGTCTATGTTTATGAAATCCTGTATGTAGTCAGCTTGTTTTTTCCCTTGTTGAATTCTTAGCTATATTGATAATATCTTAATCCAACTGTCATTTACATAAGTTCAAAAAGCTTATTCATAAATGCAGAATACAAAGTCCTCATCTATCCATTTGGTATTCACCTAGGAAATATCAAGACAGGTGGAATGTGGGCAAATTTATACAAATTAGGTTATGTGTGTTTTGTTTTGTTTTGTTTTTTTTTCAACATTTCAGTCTATTTGATCATTTTCAAGAATCATGGACTTTGCTGGCAAGTTCACAGCAAGTCAGTATTTTGTTCATAAATTTATTGTTAGTTGATCCTACTTAGGAAAGCTTCAAGAAATGAAAAAAAAAAACATACTGTAGTATTTTTTAGGTTTCTAACATGAAAGATTCTTAGTTTTTGAGAGAGAATAAAGAGAAACCGAAAAAAATACTCATTGATAGTAAAGTACAAATTTACAATGTACTTAAATGAATGGTGGAAAACACAAACAGGTTGTTGATACATAATAAATTACTCCTAAGAAATTGAATATTAGACCCTACAAAAAATATTATTAGTTTATCACCCTATCTGGGCAGGAAAAGTAATGAGGGGGGAGGTTTTTTTTAATTTTTTATTTTGCTAAATCCAAATATCACCCTTGGGTTGTTTGCTGGTACATTGATATTCAAAGTAAAACATGATTTAGCTAATGCAAATAATATCTACTAACTATTTAACAAAATAAAGGAAAAAAATAAATAAAAAAATAAAACAAATTTCAAAATTTTTTTTTTTTTTTTAATTTTTTCCCCCAAATTTTTTTTTTCCCAGTTTTTATTAGAGATAATAAATTTTATCGTTTAATCTTGTATCTTGTGATTATCTGTATGTACCTGTCTGTGGCTAACTGATTTCAGTGAGACAATTTATCAATGATAGTGCAATAGTAAAACAATGCGATAAAACATGAATTTAAATCATGAATTTAAATCATGAATTCAAATCATGAATTTGTATGAGATTGGAGTGTGGGAAACCGCGACGTTTTTCTGGGAGGCTGGTCCAAGAGCTAATAAGTGGCTTCAAAAAGTACCTCACTATTAGTAATTTACCATTTAATACTGTTTATTCCTCCCAATGGTGTCGTGCACATATGTAGAAGCATTATATGTACAAAATCAGGCTGGTTTAGGATAGTACAGTACTTTAGCTATTGTGGTTACCTGCAAGGCTACTTTTCAATTGTTTTTATGGACACTTTGCCAAGAATTTTGGTACCTTTGGGAATGAAACAGGATGACAGGATCCTTTGTGGTTTTTTAAATCAATATTACCTTTGACCTTATACAAATATTATATATTTTTCATTCAATTTTTTTTTTTCAATTATATTGCCTTAAACAGGGCCAGTAATTTTCAACATTTACTTTGGTATGTTTTGGCTTTAAAGGTATGAAATCATGTTATCATCAGTATTTCAGTGACATAATCAAATCGAAAGATAATGTACCGATTTCCAGTGAAAAATCAATTTCAGTGTTGTAGTCAGGGAATAATTTCGCCAGTATCACAAATTTGATTAAATAGATGTAGTAAGCTTAAAAAATAAAGTAAGCTTATTTCTTAGAAATGCTAGTTGCAGAGGGAAAACAACAATTTCTTTTGCCCTAGTCTTGTAATTTTTGGATGATTTCTATATATCGGGCATAAGACTGTCGGAATTCGTACTTTTGCTGCTTTTTATGGTCCTGATAATTATTACATCTAGCTGGCGGCTAAAATTAGATCCAAATGTAGGGCTAATCTTCCATAAAATCATTTATGAACTTCAAAGTTTCATCAAAATCTTATTTCTCCGCATTTAGAATTGTTCATTCATTAACAGTTAGTAGGTCATTGGCAGCGCTGGGATTTAACGGCAGGTCAACACCCCCGACATGCAGGGCAAGCGTTTTACTTTGGTGCGTAGTGCCATCTGAGGCTCAGAGAGGAGGGAATGGGGTCCCCTCCTCAATGAGAAAATTGTTGAAAGTAATAAGCTGCTAGACACTCGTAGCATCTTGACATAAGGATGGTGTTTCTTGTATCTCATGCAGTGCCCAAACTATTTATTTTATATAGGCCTATCCAGTTCAGGTCAACATTTGATATAAACGGTTTAAAATATTTTTTTTCTCCTGACGAATCTTTCCTAATTTCCCCAGCGGGAGGATGTAGCCCTCCTAACCCCCCTTTTCCCCTCTCCCGCAGTAGTAAATTTGAATGTTATGGACGATCCGCACATAATGAACTGATTTAAAAATGAAAAATGTGTAGGAATACAGTATGTGTATGTACTGTATGTATGCACTTGTGCTTACTTTATAAGACAACATTATGATATTTTAAACTTTCTTTTAAAGTTTTTATACATGAGAATATACAGTAACCTGTCTTGAAGTAGCAAAACAGTCTGCAATTACTCAGCTGTTGTTCCTCGCTCTGGAAGAGATTTCTTTGAACGGATATTTAATTTATGGTTTATTTTATTTATGGTACTTACCATATACAATAAAAATCATTACTTCATCATCCTGTAGTTTTTTTCCTTGAAATTTATAATGAAAAACTACATACTAGTATAACATACAGTAATTCAACAGCTGGTGACATTCTGTTAATATGCAAAGATTGGCAACATACAGTACCTGGTATTTTATCCTTCAACAAGATTACGGTCTGCCATGAGTTAAAAGAAAATTCAATTCCATACTGTAGGTATTTCAGTTGTTTAAATTGTATTTAAGCAAGCTATAAAAACTATTATAATTTAACATATGAATGATAAAAAAATTGTCCTCTTTTCCAAATCAGATGACTTATGTAAAGCCTTAAATTGGCTAGTAATCAATGAATTTTTTGTAGTAAAACGTCTGTAGGTCAGCAAAAATATTTGTTTACTCTCTTATTGGTCCTTTTAAATGAGCTATTTGAAATTTTTTTAGGTTTTTCCTTTTCTTGCAGACATTATGTCTTTAATAATTTTATTAAACAAATAAAAATCAAATTAAAAAATAAGATAGTTTTTAGTTATTTTTTTTAGACTGTTTTTCATTGCAAGAAGTTCCTTCATCATTGCGTACATCAAGTCAATGTACTATTGTTCTGTGGTTATCAGATTGCTAACACTACAGTTCAGTTTCATTTTTGACCATTATATTATTAATTTTATATTAGCCAAATTTCTGATAATCCACCAGATCTTCTTTCAAAATTATTCAGCCACCTAGTAGCATTAATTTCCAATTTTGTTTGTACAATAAATCCCAGGAAACAGGCTGCACATTATTTCACTATTGGAATCGGATGTAACATTGGGGTGGGATTATAACCAAGAAACTACTGTTACTAACTTACTAACTCTATTTCTTACCCTTAATATGTGCCCACAGTATTTGTGTTACCCTTATCATTCACCTTCAATGCCAAAAAGTACTTTTGTATTAATTTTTACTTGAGTGGCAATTGTTTCACCCGTTTCCTTTTGTGTTTCAGTTTGTGGAATAATTCGGTCAGCCATTGGCAAGGCCAGCCTCCTCACAAATAAGAAGTTTAAACAATTTAGAGGCCTTTGTGAAAAGAACATTGTAAGTATTGGATCGCATAATATATTTTTTCTTCTTTAACCACATACTGCAATAAATGTTAATTCTTCAAGGATAAATTTATAGACTTGAGACCGGACATCTAGGTATGAACTCACCAAGGACCAAAGAAAAGTTTTATTTTTTGTACTGGTTTGCGAATTATGAATACAATGACAAGGAATATGACAGGCTAATCCACCTCTTGTGCTTGGTTATTTTAGGGTAGTGACAACATCTGTATGCTGTGTTAAAACATTGCGGATACCGAATATTAGCAACTCTGTACAGTAAATTTCTGTAAATCATTGTCATACTTTGCTAAGTAATTTTATTTGGGAATATAATTTATAGGCTGACTTTTATGTAATATTTTATCGCTGTACATTTTTAAAAAGTTGATTTTAAGCTGTGATTTTAAGCTTGAAATCGTACCTTGTACAATGCTAGGCAAACCAAGGACCGGGGGTCTGCACAATCCACAATAATACAATAATGAAGCACGGAAATACTTCCCAATGTAGACTCTATAAATATACCGTATTATATTATGGTTATGACTTGCATAAATGGTTAAATGGAGTCGTTCATTTTGATTACCAAAACAAGTGAATATCTCTGGACAATCTATCAGGCAGTCTAGGCATACACCGTCGCTGCAAACTATCAAATCACTTCGAGTCGGTTATTAAATCTTATGGGCTTCTGAAATGTATTGAGAAGTATTATATGTGGTGCTAGACGTTATGAGTATGAATGACTGCAATGAACCTTAAGAATAATTTCTAGGCCTTGGTCTGTGTCCACAAAGCAGCTACAGCCTGCCGCCTACTAACCGTACCCACTAATGCATCATGAACATTTCTATTAATATTATGCCCTTTACCAGCGATATCTTTCATGCCTTTCGATGTCCAATGTCCTAATGCCTCGGACGTAATATTGACACTTGTTAGTGATTATGGTAAAAGAAATTCCATTTTAAAAAACAGAAACAGCAATTATGGTGTCGTTAATAACAGACACTTAGCAAAAACAGTCGCTGAGCTGCCATCTTTACAGTATACTGTATAAACTCGAGCGTTCAAAACAATAACAAAGCGAGTACCGCATACAGATCACATACTGACCAGACGCAAAAGGTGGATTGGAAATCAGATTCTGACTATTAAATGCTGTCTTTACCTACATAATTGACATTGTAGATTTAGGTGGCCACTTCAGCAATAACAGTATAATTATTATATAGTAAATTAACTAGTACAAATTAACAGAGAATGATATTTTGTATGAAATTTCTAACATTGGTTACTTGACACGAGATGCTATAAATAGCCAGAGGGTGTTAGGCAAATTAAGTTTAGATTGAATGTTTTGCCAACTTAGGATTTGAAGCACACGACGTAAAAAAACACTCTAGGCAAGAAACATATCCCCTTGCGTATTGCCAAGTGTACCCTGGACTATCCAACGTCATTTTATATCGTTGCTTACACACATTGAAATTAGGATATACTGCCCTCAGGGGTGTAGGATTGAAGTTAAAGATTATTAATGCTGAGTTTTGAGAGATGTCATGTACGGTGTACATGACTGTTTAACAGTCTTTCCTCAGTTTCAATAATTGCAACTTGCAAGTTTCATAAACAGGAGATTTTGGGGAAATTCAGTTAATTTAACTAATTTGTAATTTAATAAATCGTTAATCACATTTCACATTCCCATGGTTTGTAAGATTTGTATGAATGAATGCAAAATTCAAGCATTTGTGAAGTCATACCCTGCACTTTTGCTTGAAGAAAGGCTAGTACAAAAAATTTGGCATAAAGTAGGGAGTGGGGGGAAGGGGTGGATTTATACCTTCAGTGGGCTTACGGCAGTACTGTAACAGTGTAATTATCATCAGTAATTATAGATATTGTCCTACTAACTACAGTAATGCCGGTACGTTATTTATCTGACTGCAGTAAATAGCCAATGCTGTTCCAAATGTTTTTGCAACTGAGCATGATGGCTGACAGCGTTCGTGACTACTCTTGCAGTGGCGGATCCAGGATTTTGAAATAGAGGTGTCCCAGAGAGGTATTTCAATGACAGATGGGGAGTCTAAACCAATTCAGTCTTTATGATTATGGAATTGTACAGTACCTCGAGATGTCCAGGAATGATACTCTAAATTTGAATTTAAATTTTTTTTTTTTTCTTTTATGTGTCTTATTTTTTGTTCCATATTAACATGTCTTATTTTGTTATTTTAATTAGAGAAAGTTGCGACCATGGAAATACTGGTCCCAAAAATTTGGGCTTTAAAGACCTATAGTAGCCTACAAAATTAAACTATAGGCCATACAAATTAAAAGAAAAAATAAATAAAATAATAAAAAATGATAAACATGAATGATAAACAAATTAATGAAAGATTTTATCAAATGCAGGAATTTTACTTTACAATTTTCTTCCATTATTTTCATTCATCCAACTTTTTAAATATTAAATTTCCCATCCCATTATTCAGCCTTTCTTGCATAATTGATGTCATTGTCATACAAATTGCCTTTTGTAAAAGAAGGACTCTCAATTATCATAATTTCACCCTATAGTACAATTAACATTTGGCAATATCCTCCAACCTGACACGTACAGTACATCTAAGTGTGTATTAACGCACATACACTAGTTAATTTTCTCTGAATACACTACACTCGAGCCATTTCTCCCTTCAAAATGATATTACGAGTCAGCGTCAAATTTGTGAGCCCACATGTCCAGTATCTTTCCATCCCTGTTGAAAATGTAAACATTCTGATGTGTGCATCTGTGATTGGCTGTAATTTAGCAATTTAGCATGTGTAGCCTTGATGCATACTCAACCATCACTAATTCGTGGCCGTTCTACATTTTCTGGGCAGTGTAGATTCAGGCAAACTGTGTCCTACAATCCAGACGACAATAAGATCTCAAAATTCTCTCACGTGCAAATGACTTATTGATGAATATTGGAGAACATTGCGGCAGTATTGATTATTAGTATTATTGTTAGCCACAGCCTGTCTTCAATTAATTTTTGGCAAATAGCCACATCCCATCTTTCAGCTTAAATTGCTAATGAAAAAAAAAAAATGTGGTGACAACCTTATGTGTTCCACCCTTTTCATTAATGTCATAAAGTTTATGTACTACTATAGCAGCAGCACCACCACCACTGCTAAGTAAACATCTAGAAACTGTATAAATTTTCGTTTTTGTAAAGCTAAAATGGAAACGGAGTAATTTGCCATCTACAGTATACAATTCCTGAAGCTAAATGAAATTCTTTCAAGATCTAGAAACTGGCAGGCACCTCCAGGGATCTTGAGTTACCTTTTAGAATACCAGTGATCTGGGTTAAGCTATTGGAAATATCTGGTTAAATGAGCTTTAATAAACACATAAATTTTTATTATTGTTATCCATGGCCAGCTGACTTAAAAGAGATAATTTATAACTAGTGCAGTACTAAAATCATAAGTGATGGGTTAATTTCCAAGAGATTTTTGTTTTTTTTTGCCAGAGAGTGCGGGAGTCCTGTAACTTAAGGAGCTTTGAGACCCCATGCATGTACGAAAAAACAAAATTTATAATCTACTTTTTATTCATTTAAACAAAGAAAAATATTACAAAAATGAATGGAGTTGATAGATTTCATAGCATTGAACATACTGGATTTTTCTACCTGGCTCTCTAGTGTATAGTGTTGATGTAGAGTAGGTCAACTATTTTAATGCTTCTACAACTACAACAATATAATACATTTTGGAAATCTTTTCCTGGTGTAATATTAGACAGGATATGAAGCTTCGCATTTGAAGAATACGTACAGGATAGAATCTCTAGAATTCCTTTTACGGTGATAATACAGGGAACTGGTTTAAAAAGGCCAAGTTTGCTGGACTTAAGTAATAAATATTGTCAGTGGTTGCTACTGTGCCTTGATCAGATTAAAAAACTTGAAATTAATTTAAAAGAGAAAAAGAAAAAATATTAAAAATTAAATATAAAACAAACTGTCACATTACTGTAAATTCCTCCTCTTTAGTATTATTTATGGTAAGACAGAAGTGGGATGGTGTAGAAAAGAGGGGTTTGATAATGTGTTGAGGCTTCAAATATAATGAGAGGGCAGTGTGTCAGAATGTTGTCAAGATTTTTACATCAGTAGATTTTAAAGACATCATAGATTTTTTATGTGTGTTCTTTTTAATGAATGGATTTTTTTTGTGTAAAAGTTGCAAACAATTCGAATTTGAATTGTTTATGTAAAGTTCAAATTTTGAATAAAGTGAAACATCAGTCTATATGTTCAATCCTATTATTAATAGGTATTCCTTTTTATTACTAATTAAATGAGTAATATTTTTAATGGTTTTATGTAAACCATGGTAATGTCATTATACACCCAGCGCTGTAGTGTGAATGATAATCATAACGCTCTGTGCAAGGACTTATGAGTCACGAAATGCAAAAAATTATGCCTTCTTAATTGAAAACGTAATTAAAAAAACGTGCGAGGGCCACTAATATCGTAACCTATTATAAGTAGGATAGTGGTCATCATGGTTGGAGACATAATTGATAAGACACAGACCTGTATTAGCTTGTGGACTGCTTTATTTTGTAAGATCACTTGTATTCTAATACAACTGACACTAATTGCTTTTTTTATTTATTTATGAGGCCACAGACCTCTTCATTCTAAACAAAAATTGATATGGTGCATATTTTACCGAAAATGCATGAACAGTTGGTTAATTGACCTTTCTGCTAAGCTCCACCCAATGGATATTGTTGCTAAGGTCCTGCAAAACGACAGTGTAAAAACATAAACAAACATGCGTATTTGTGAGGTGTTTTTGAGACGTGTGTGTATTCGTGGCCCTGTTCAGAATGGTCAGATTTTATGTTTGGTTGACACTCCGCAATAATGGAAAACATATAGTTTAAATGAAATTGATTAAAAGCTGTTTCAAACACAAACTATATGAAGTGTGGACAGTAATTAATTGATAGACACTCCGGAAAAGTCCATTACCTTTGCCATCAATAGCAAAAATAATTGAAAACAAATAGTTTAAATGAAATTGATTAAAAGCTGTTTCAAACACAAATGTGTGGACAGTAATTAGTTTATTTTCTTTCATGGAAAGAGGTTTGAGTACATTGGCATCATGCTGTAATTCCTTTTTTTACAATTATACTGGAATTGTACCGTACCTTGATAATTACAGTAATATTGACCAGTGGCAGAACATTTTTTAAAAATAAATAGGAAAAAAAAAAAAATTTCAAATGTAATTCTGAGAGTACCATATCCGGCAGTCTAGAAGTAACATAGCCAATCAATTTCATACATCAGTTCAACCGTTGTGTGGGGCTAAGGGTGGTGTTGATCCCCCAATTGCAAAAGCTGCCGCCATCTATTTCCAATTCCTGGATCCGCCAATGTTGGCTGATCTTTACTGAATAGTGGTAGATTTATAGTACTGTACAGTAGGCCTATATTCTCAACTCAAGCTTTCAAACATAGAGTGGGCTTCCTCAGGAGACTAATAATATTAATCAGTAAGACTTTTCAGAAATGATACACAGATGTGTAAATTGTTAATGCAGTTCCTACTCCACTTCAAGATCACCTTTGGGATCTGAAAATTTTGGGGTGGTCTCGGGGTTGGTCTTTAATTAGAGGGCTAGCTTTGTGTTAAAAGGTTAAAGATTGTTATTTGGGTCTTTGGAAAAGTGGTCTCGAATTAGAGGGGCCTTGGAATTAGAGGGGTCTCGTATTGGAGGGTGCACTGTACTTTGGTTCACTTCTTTACTGTTTTTATTTCTGCAGAATCAAAGTGATGATGAACAGTTTAAGACGATGCCAATGGACTTGGTGGGCTTCTGGGAGATGGTTATGCTTCAAGTTGAAGATGTAGAGAGGCTGTTCCAAGAGGTTGACAACTTAGAGAAAAATGGTTGGGTCTTACAACAACCAACAGTTATCACTCAAAAGAAGGTATGGATTCTTAACATGTTTAATAGTAAATATTAATTGTGTAGAATGTAGTTGGTGATGTTCTGTAGTTGTAACAATTCTTTATAATTTATAAATGTCGATATTCTAATGTTATTTTTAAGTTGCTACTCTCATACAGTATAGTTAAACCTGCTTAAACATCACATATAAAAAAAAATAAAAAATAAATAAAAATAATATAAATTTATACAGTGTTATTAATAGTACAGTAAGTGATATCTTGAAGGATGAAATTTACCTTTAGATTACCAGATTCCTTTGACTATTTTAACCAGATACAGTTTCTTTAATCTGACTTCTTTTTTGTGGTAGGCCAAAGCAAAGGTTAGCAAAAGTACGGATGGTAATATGAAATCTGAACGTAATATCAAAATGGAACAGGCAAGGAAAGCCAGAGAGGAATCAAGGCGGAAACTCATCGCTGAAAAACGAGCAGCCGCGAAGCGAAACGCATTAGCAGCAGCAGCCGAGGAGAATGCAGTGGTAGAGATCTTTGTTCCGGAAAAGAAGTAGACGGGAAGGATTAGACAGGAAAAATTATCTGATTTGCTTGCCAATTGGTTGTTTTGAATAATGAATCCTGAATTCTTCAGTCACTGCATTCTAAAATTATCAAAAAATATTAACTTCAATGCATCCGTATCAAGGAACCCTATACGTGTGTGAGTGCCTACGTTCTTGCATTGCCATATTGACGTTTATTTAATTAATTTATTCTCTCCGGTTAAAGGAAATGTGTATAAAACAGAACCAAATGAGGAGTGGAGAGGAGAAAAGGCAGTCAAGACCACCTTCTCCATCTCCAATCTGTATGATTTTAAAAATTAATTAAAAAAAGATAAATGTACATGTATCTAAATGATTTAATTATCAATAAAATTTAAAAATCTGCACTTCATTTTCATTTTATTAAAGATTACATAAAGTCACAAATATGTGTATATAATTGCAACATCATCAAAAGTATACAATCCTAATTCAGTATCTACTGTAGTCAAATAATTAATTTTCCTTTAGGTTGGCCAGTTCTTAGTCTAGTATTTGTTTTGTGGTAAGTTCAGTAACTGTAAGTTCAACAACATTTCAACAGCGCCCCCCTGTGAATTTCTACTAAACTTTAGCATGCTATTGGAAATGATGTTCAGGTGATTATAAAATATGGTCTTCCAGTGTGTACAATTTTGGTACAAAGTGATTTTTACAATGTTTGTATATCTTTGATGTTTCTAGAAATATGAGGAATATTATATTAATGTTTACAGTGCAAAATATACAGTGAAATAAATGCTTTGGGACGGTTAAATAGGGAAGGAAAAGACCAAAATGCGTAGTTAAATGCTAACAGGCAGACATGAGCTATGTTAATTCCATGTATAGATTATCTGATTTAATTAAAATGCAGTTGCTTTTAGGATTTTCTCTTGTTACATGTGTTGTCAGGGTCATGATTACCATTAATCATTATAATTATGCTCATCATATTTTGTTACCATTATATTTACATATGATTATGTAGTTACAAAGTATCATTATTGTTACCAACAATACAATAACATGTTGTCCTTGAAGTTAAAAATAATCCGATTATCGAGATCATCTTTTTAATAATTTCATTACCATCATACGAAATTAGCATTTTTGTCAAATGTTTCCAACTATCAATGCCATCTTATCATCATCATAACACCAATAATCAACATTATCTTCATCATCTGAACCTGTATTACCTGTAACCATTTGCTGATGGAGCATTTTAAGGAAATTTAAGCCCTGGTACAGTATCGTCTGGTTTGATATAGATTATTTCACCCTTAATTCTTTTATGTTTTATATTGTCTTTTATGGTTCAATTTTAATAGATCATTCCACTCATGACCCTCTTCCATATAACACCTGATTGTATTTTAAAACAATTTGTGAAACTTTCTAAAGATAAGCAATATTAAAATTGAATAACAATATTACCCTGATACTGTATGTATCAGGGTAAGTGATGTTTGACCTTGATAGGAGAGTATCACTTTGAGGTAAGAATAGAGAATTAAATTACATAATGTAACCATGGAGAATGCTGTCAAACTGTAACTATTGAGCAATACTTCCATGATATAACTAACTGTGACTAATAACAGAAACATAACAGTAATCACATTAAAGATGAAGATTTTATATTTTTATGAGTTATATAATGTTCTGCTAGGTGATAATTCTCTGATGAATTATATATAATAATATATTAAAAAACAGTATAATACAGAGAAATGTTTATGTATGTACTTGTATATATGGTTATTTATTTGGCAGATCACATTCGCTAAGCACTTTCCAGACTATCAAAGGTCATTTGACAAAAACATGTGATACCTAAATATGATTACCATATATAGCCACCTTATGACTATTATGCATACGACAGCTTTTTGTCAAAGAAAATTTGATATTGTGGGCAGAGCTTTTAGTTAAGATTCAGTTTATTAAGGCTTAGTATCAGGTTCTGGTTCTTAACATTTTAAAATAAAAAAGGACATAAATGTGACCCACCACCACTTTAATCAGTCCACTGTGTTACACCTTGTGACGGATTAGATAATAATTACTGTATGTTGGTGTGAATCTCTGAATTTTAGGGGAAAATGGTTTATCAATAATTGTTTGTTTTATTAATTAAGACATTATGCATGTTCATACAGACTTGTGTCCAAATTAAATTTACAAAAGCCTTACAATACTATGCGTACATTGCATCAGACTAGTGTTCGTGTCCACACGCTGCTTGGACAGGGCACATGTGCTTATTTACATTGAAGCTACTTCAAAACTTAAAAGTAACTAATTAGAATTTCCAGAAGCGATAAGTGCTGCTCTCATTTTCTTTATCATTTTTCAGATTCTTGAAATTATTATTACAATTACGAAAACATTGTGGCTAAAAAACACATCACAGGAATGCATTTTTAGAATTTGGTAATTATTCTTTTAGAAAAAAAGTAATGGTAACAGCTCTACCCAGATCTTATGAAAAATAGACTACTACTTTGAGCATACTTTGACTTTAATTTGACCTTATCTTAATGGAACTATAATTTTGAAGCTGAAACTAGTGTTAATAAATAAGTGGTTTTTTATCTTTGAAACCTTTTTTTGCCAAATTTCATGTTCATACATTCTTACGGTCAAATGCCATAGTTCTTCTTGTAGATATGGTAATATTAACACAATTTAAATTTCAAATTCTCTGGTTTCTGGTACAAGACTTGGAATGTGACATATTGTTCAATATGATGTTATGAATGTTAAGTTTAAAAGATCATTTTCACATACTGTACTCTTATAAAAGATAGTCCTGACTATTACATCATACTGTACTCTACCCACGTCATCATTCTTATAATCAACTTTGACCTTCGTGGAATGGACTCGCTGTGCTCTGCTGATAGCGATATTAATTCATCGACTATGCCAATCCTAATCATTGTGGCATGTGTGCATCAGCTAGCTGTCCATGTTACTTTAGACATCAATGTAAATTCTGGTAGGCAGTGTCTGAGCTGTGGGGAACCAGGAATTTCCAAATAGAGGGGGTCTAGGGAGAAACATTTACAAATTAAGGGTCCAGACTACCTCAGCCCCAACGTCATTGTGGCTGATGTAAAAAATGCAGTGGCTTTGTGCCATCTGGATGGCTAAAAATGGTGCTCTTAAATAAAATTTTGAAGTAATTTTTATTTTTTCCCCTTTTCTTACTTTCAACAATTTAGAGGGTACAGAATCCGCCCCTGTTGAGTTTGTTTATAGTCTGTATTTCATGGGAAAAGTTGAAGAACCCTAAATCATTTTGAGTGAAGAAATAAAAAGCAGAGGATTTGGAAGGTTCAACTTGGTAATCCAATTTGTTCGGACAAAAGCTCGGTCCACACTATCAAATTTTCATTGACAAAAAAACAGTTGTATGTCCATATATAGTCATGATGTGATGTCATTATGACCATATTTAGGCATGTCACATGTTTTTGTCAAATAAAATTTGATAATCTGGACGCGGGCTTAGGTTTACATAACGCTGATGAAAGAATGTTGGATGCTAGGATACAAGTCTGTTCATGGCACAGGACTTCAGGACTTCATTAAGTAATGTCCCTAAAGATAATTACTACACTCTAATCTTAGCCATTCATAGTTCCTTTATGAATTGACACAATCTTTTGTAGCTTAGACTAAGCAAAAGCTAGCATATAGCTCAACGTTAAACTTAAAACCATGCGAGCAGGATGAGGCTTATACAACACGTTGCTATGATACATCGTATGATCGGTGAAAGAAAATGTTCCCCCACCCAAATATAATTTCCTTTATTGAGCTGCAAGTCCTTTTAAGTTTATTTGTATCTCAAGTGTTTTACTTACCATTGATACAGTAGTTAAGTTTCTATATCAATTTCCATATCTGTTATGCTGCTTGAAATGATGTGAAAGCTCTAGCCTATTTTTGTTATTCATTAATGGTTATTGGTTTTCACCCTTGATATTCTAATGATGGATCAATTGAAGTTTATACTGTTAAAAAATAAGCATGGAGATATTTATATAAAAAAAACTTTCCTATGGAAAATTAAGCAATTTAAGAATGTTTTAAATGTATATTTAGTGAAGTTACTACTGAGAGATTATGCACATGAATAGAAAATGAATGCATTGGTATCTTGACTTTTGATGAGACAATCACTTTACAAAAAAATGTTGATCAATAAAGGTATATTAACTGATAGAAATGAATTTGTTAGCAGTGAAGCCTTCTTTGGCATTCGCTCAGAGCTTTGTTGCATACTGTAACAAGTTGTCTTCACATAATGCTTGCATCATTGATATTTCATTTTGATTTGCTTTAATTCTTTTGAGTTGAGTACTGGGAATAGGTTGCTGTATTATTTGTACTAACCTATGTGGCTATTTTATTCTGAACCTTGTGCAACCATTCGGTTTTTGTGCTGTGTCAGTCGGGCACCACCTCCAACCATTCTGGTAACTGTACAGTAACCATAATGGTTGCAGTAAACACAGTCGAACACTATCACTGGCTCTATTCACTAAATGGTGATATCTAATAAGTATCAAGCTTGGTTTCCATATAATTGCTACACTCTAAGGTATTGCCGACAGCATCCGGTGATGCGGATTGGTCGGTCGAATCGGGAAGCCTTCCCGATTGCGTCAGGGAATGTTACACAGTGCAACGAATGCACTGGAAACGCTGTAGCACCAGTGTAGTGATTTTAAGAGAAACCAGGCTTAATATGTAATAGATACAGGATAGCAGTCAGAATGATGAGTACTTTTATCGTTTCATTGAAATAAATCATATCCATCAACTTGGTCTGATTGAGGCTCTGACACAGTATGTATACAGTAGCTGAAGCAATATTTCTAATATTATTGCATTATATGTGTATGTTTAGATTAAATACATATCTGAATATACTTGGTGGTAAATACTCCCAAACAAAAGACTATTTGCTGTCAAATGTTTTTATTTTTATTCTATAAAATGTGACTTCTTTAAAGTGCCATAGAAGCGGTTCTGATCATATCATTCATTGTACATAACAATTTTTCTTTTTAAATTCAGCTGTTTTTGTTTGTGCATTTTAAACTTCATTATAATTTGTCTTCTTTTTTGTTCTTGGGCTTGGGTCTGCAAGTAGACAAAAACAAAGAAAAAATAAAGTGCACATTACTATATGATAAATGCAAATGTCTGTCATTGTTTGTCTTAATGGTTCAGGAAGTGGCAGGCGGGATTACCTCTACCTACACCCTAATGGAAACTTGGGTATCGGTGGCTTATATCCACTAAAGCTAAGCTTATGTCACACTTGTAACTGACATTAATGGGCAACTACAAGCAACTGTAAGCAACTAGTTTCCTAATGTGCATGGTCATATTCTATCGCAATTTAGAGAGCGATTCACAGTTACTGGAAAATTGCCAAAGGTCAGTTGATGCAATCGAGTCGCAAGGGTGACATAAGTTTATAGCTCCAATCAGATACCAGTGGCTTAAGGCTTATGGGAGTGACATTACCTGAGGGCTGGTGCAGAGGTTGGAAGGGGGAGCTATTTAGGCCTACAATAACTCTGAACATACTGTATGATGGACTATTCTGTAATGTGATACTTAATATTAGCAATTCTTAATTTGTCCTCGTTCAACTGAAATAGGAAATTCAGGCTCGACTCCTTGGGACCCACAGCTGCACCAACCAATTTAACTACATTTAACGGACACAATCGTAAACCTTTTAACTCTTCTCAGCGTTTAGACCTGCATTCAAGTCCAAGCTTCCTAGCTAACTTGGTCATCAGCTGTAAGAGGCAAGAGCATTACCTCTTTCCCAAACGCATGCTCAGCCCTAGAACTTGGCAAGACCTCGCATTAGGTATATAGACATGATAAAACATTTATATACAGTACTGTATTAATTTGCATCACAACATGTTTACTGGGAAGCTGATAACAGAGTTTGGAAAGATGGGTTAATGATTTACTAACCCTGGCTCTAGGCAGGTATAATATATTATTATAATATATTATTATTAAACCAAGAATATTATTATGGCAGATGTAAGTACAGTACAGATATGGTAAACTTTAACCTAAAGTATATCAATGTAATTTCAGATCAAGAAAACTAAGAATTCCAGCAGATTGTAATTGTTTATAAAATTAGAGAGACTTCATGACTCCACCAGATAATAAGTGTTTATGAAATTTGGGGGACTTGAATTTTAATATAATTTTAAAAGAATTTATCAGGGACGTGCCATGATAGATAAATTGATTGAGCTCCCTCTACTGGCTTTTCCAACCTTGTACTGCAGATGTTTTACCAATCGGTTAATTTTGAGAAACCCGAACATGCTATACAGGATGCTCTATTTCTTTTACTTCCTTCAAAGAATACCACAAGAAGTTATTCACCTACAATATTAGTCAAGCAAGAAGATCTCTTGTAGCTGAAAAGATATGACCTGTATTTCAGAACACCATGAAGATTCATAGCCAGACATTCATCTCTTTATTTATATTACCAGCCGTCCTACAGCTTATCTCCTTATCGATAAGGGAGGGACTGTTTTATTTGGCAAGAATATTGTAAATATTTTACAAAAACAAGAAAATGTATTTCCAGTCACATTTTTTTTTTATATTCCCGCATCTATATTTCCTAAAGTTTTGACACGGACGGGAGTGATAATAACAATTTTTTGCGCTTGTGCCCTTATATACGATAGCAATAATGTTAATGATGATAAGTTGATAATAATGGTCATGTGGATAACAACAATAAGCTTCACAAAACCTACACAAGGCAGTACCCACAATGACAGGCGCAGTTAAGTATAGTTTCATTGATTGAACAAATAGGAAAAATAGTATACAGTACATATAATGAATAATGAAAGGAATGAATATCTTCATGATTTGAAAGATAGAAGTTCCTTTCAACAAGGCAGTATAGATTTCTTCAGAATGGAAGTCCATATAATTTTAACGAATGAGAACCCTGTATTAGGTGGAGGCATGCAAAGAGAATAGAACAAACATGAATGGAAATGGAACTAAATCATATGAATGCAAACATAGAAATAAATTATTTTGCTATAGAATTGTGTAAACATCCAATGTTATGTGATATCAAAGATCTTATAATTACATGATAGCTCTCTCTGCGATTCTACACTTAACAAATAGAAGCGTCGATGGTCAGTGAAAAGCAATAGAAAGCAATTGTAATTGAAAAAAGGGCGTCTTAGTTGTTACCATGGAATTTGCACGTAGATCATAGATGTCAAAGTTCAAAAGTAATTGTAATTGAAAGAGGGCGCCCTACACTGCTTTATTACAGAATTTGTACGCAGAAATCGCGTAGAACGCTATCTTGTTATTATAAGATCTGTGTGATATTAAATCCACCACCAGAGGGCAGTATTAGCTCAGTAAGTTAAACTAATGGTAGCCAAGTGCTATGTGTGCTGAAATGGACAACTCTACTTAATGCCAAGTTCATATATATTTGTAATGCAATTTGAACTTTGATGCAAATTTACTAATGTGTTTTCCTAATCTCATTTTAATAACAATTTGAGATTTATATTTGTAGTGCAATTTAAATTGTGATGTAATTGAATTGATGTTTTTTGTATTTTTAAGCCAAATGGACCATGAATTTCCACATATTTGATTGACAATAAAAGTTTATCTTATCTTATCTTAATCTCGTCAGTTGCTCTCCTTGGTTTTTAAGCTGTTAAAAAGCAAGTTTCAATAGCATACAGCCATAAGGACGAGACGTTTAATCTGTTGGAGCGTTCCATGTGCAATATTACCTCTGTGCACATTAAGCCGGGCACTCATTGCATCCGACGGTCATTGGCCGAAACGATTTCACGGAGAACATAATGCCATGCATGTGTGTGTCTGCATTTAAAGAATGCAGTTACATTTTTCAGAAAAGTTTACATGCCAAATTCACTAACTCCACAAGACTTGCATTATTTTACAGTATAAATCCAATCCAAAAAAAAACTGACAAGGATCTATTCAGCTGTGATATCATATATCATTCAAAAAGTTTGAAAACCAAATAACTAAATCAAATTAGCAGAATTTATAACTTAAAAGTATGATGCAATATAGTTAAAGTGCATTAGAATACTGTTTATATTAAATGATGTTAAGATTCACTAGCAAGATCATTTACAGTGAGAATTTTAGCAAATAGAATAAATCACATTTTCAATTGCACCCTCTTTAATTACAAGTATCAAACATTTTAATTAAAATTTCAATCACAATGGTTTTTTTTTTTTTTACAGTTTAGAGTCAAAAGATACACCATAATGGACTACTTTGGTTTAAGCAAAACATTTATCATTCAAATGTATATATCACTGATGGTGGAAGTACATATTAGCACATCATATGTAACTTTATTTGCATTTTTCATTCAAGAACCTCTTTAAAAAGAAGATAAATTAGCATTAAATATTTTAATTACTGCTTTACTGTTGCAGTATAACTAAATGATATATAAACACAAATTATAAATCTGAGTAAAGTCATTCTTCTATACAAGTCGATAGCAGCAAATGAGTAGCAAGGTGGTAACAACCCACCTGTTTAAGATGCAATAACTAAATAATATAAAAAATATTTTGATTTATTTATTATACTGTAATAGTCTATACCAATCTAGCAGCACTAAATAATATTGATCATTTTCCAACAATAGAGGGTGCTCTATTAAATATAATTTGTATCATTAAAATCTGTGTATGGTATATGAAATGCATTCTATTATAACAACACTGTACAGTACTTGAGAGATGGATAGATCAGCTAACTCTTTGTGAAGTCAATCTTTGTGAAGTCTTGATTTTAAAATGCAATACAAATTCATGTTTATCTTTTAGAAAATACAACACCCCATGTCACATCAATTACCTAATCATCCGTTAAACTGTCCTCAAAGAAAGCATTTATATCATACTTTAGAATACAGCTTCTCAATCAGTATTTGGAAGCCTTGGTTTAATCTAGCCATGCCAATCGGAAGTTTGTATCCATGCTTTAAAAAATCATTTTACAAGACTTGAGAGTAGCATTGCTGTTATTTGGAAGAATGAGCTTGGGTGGAAGGATTGGAAGACACATGTACTGGCATCATGGCTCAACAAAAAGTACATGTATCTCTACTGTACCGTTTAGTCGGTAAGCTGCTCACAAAGTGAATAACACCAATTTTAGCATGCATAAGAAGTTGTTAGATTTGGGTATTTAAAAAAGTAAATGAAAGTGCAGTATTGGGTACAAATCATAAGTACTGATGCGGTTACTCTGAACCAGTCCATAGGACACAGCGCCTACCTGTTTTACCAGTAGATACACACTGATTTTGTACCAGTTTCCCTTAACTATTAAAGGAAACTACCGTTATTCAACTAGAACTCAAAAAAAGATATAATATAAACAAAATTATTAAGCTTTTTTATTTTCCTTACTGCTAATGCTGGCATTCATATTTTTGTGAAATCAATCTTAATAGTGTACTAAGCAATTACTTATACTTTCACTCTGCAAATTAGCATTGTTTCTTTTTTATTGCTAGGATGCAAGCACACAAGTTAAATACTGTACACAGTACTGAACATAAATGGATGTCCTTTAAGTTTTGGACCACCGCTCTCCAAGTTGGACTTAAAGGTTGACTGGGACAATAGTGTTAAAAGGGAAATCAGTGGTCTGCGGGTTATCCAGAACATATTAGTGTGAGAAAGCGTTTAAGCAAAAGCTCCTGAAGCTACTGGTTATTATTTCTAGATTAATTCAAGCAATTAGTTGGCAAACACCCATTCACACAGTAGTACACATCTACGTAAGCAACATCAGTGCAAGAAATGATTACAGAAATTGTGAGACCAGGAGCAGAAAGAGAGTAATACTGTGAGAGCTTCCAAAGTATAAAAACAATAGCCTACAGTATCAAGTCGTCCTCCAATGGACGGAAGTGCGACTCCACAATTTCATCTGTTACTTCTTCAATAGATTTTGGATTCCAGTGTGGTTGATTATCTTTATCTACCAGTAAAGCACGGACGCCCTCGTAGAAATCATGACCACGCTGAAAGAATTCCAATTCAAATTTATGTTATCATTTTATTTGGAAATCCACAAAATACTGCAGTCTGGCCTAATTTTGAATTTTTATAATGGGTTTTGACATTTACGAATACAAATAAACTTTATTCCATTTTAAGAAAAAACAAAAGAAAAGCATCTTCAGTTAGCAAAAATAGAATACAAAAACATTACAATCTAAGTATAAAAAAATCTAAAAATTATAACCATCACCATCATCACTATTACATCACCATCATGATTAACTTTATTATCATTATCATCATCACCATTAATGATTATCAAATTAGTATTATCATTATTATCTATTATGATCAGCATCTTTATCATCATCACCATTATATTTATCAGGGGTTCCAAGTTAGAAGTACTCACTTCCATGTTAAATGAGCTTTCTTAACACATTAAATTTTATTTTGCTGCACATAGTGATACTCGTGTGAATGAAAATAAAGCAGTGAAAACAATAAAATGTTACGAGTTTGCGGGAGATGGGATATTTTCTAGGAGATTCCTGCTTGCTCGCAGGACTGTAAGATGTCGTCCCAATTTCCAGGAGGTTCCCGCAAATTGCAGTATACTTGGACCCCTGTATCTAAAATGACATTCATAGGAGGGATTGTCGCATGGATTGCAATTTGGGCGGAGGTTCGATGGTATTCTAAAAAAAAGCAATAAAATCATCTATTTGAAAACTTACTAAGCAACCCTCAGCAATCCTGTACTCCATCATTAAACAATCTTGTAGACTGAGATCGCTGCCCTCTATAAGTTGACGTAGCGTCACTTTCATTGATGTTGGCGATTTCTGTTTCAATATCTGGTAGAATAAAATTTTAAAAAGTGTTGAAGATGTGAGGCAAACAGTAGTTTCTAATATTTCAGAGCTTTGAATGATGCCTTGTAAAACTCCAGGAAAACAAGTTGGCGAGCCGGATGGCCGAGTGGTTAAGGCAGGGGTGCAGCAACCTACAGCCATAATATCGGTGCTGGTTCGAACGGCACGCTCACCTATGGTTCTGGTGGTAGAACAAGTCTTCTATGATAAGAACTATAAATCGTAGGTCCAGTGTACACACTGGCTCTTGTGCACTATAAAGAACCCAGGACATCTATCGATGTGAGTAGGGGTTACCCTGGTGTACTGGTTCATACAGCCCTTGTTGTGGACAGGCAAGACACAGCTGGTACCGGTTTACCTGTTAGCTCAGACACGAAGAGAGGGTTACTGTGCGAGCTAGTCCCACAGCTCAAGCACTTTGAGACTTTTGTATAAAACACTATATAAATTTAACCACATTACATTACAATCATGGAAGCTAATCTAAAAAAAAACTTTCAACTAAGAATTTATTTTATTACATTTTATTCCTTCCAGCAAACAATACAACAATTCAAGGATTTATTTATTCAACAACAAAATAAATATACATTGAAGCCAATGGCTAAATTGAGTAAAATTTCACAAACAAAGATATATTGCACATTATAAAGCGAGAAAAAAAGACACCAAAAACTAACTAGTTATTGAGAACAAAGACAAGGACAAAGAAAGAGACTGAGAAGGGGAAAAAAACTACTATCACCGGAAACTCCAACTTCCTAAACATTTAATATTAATTTTTAAAAATAGCTATAAAACTATAAGATAATTATTATTATTAAAAAAAAAGGAAAAATAGTACACTCTGACCACATTATCAAGTGACAAATAAATGTGATGTGCCCATATTTGGGTGTAATATGACATCATGACACCCATATATGGGCTCATGATGCCCATATATGGGCTCATGATGCCCATATATGGGCTCATCATGCCCATATATGGGCTCATCATGTCCATATATGTGCACATCACACAAATTTGTCACAATCACTTTGATAGTGTAGACAAAGCCTAAATAACATCTAGCTGTAGCTGTATTATTATTTGATTCTCTGTGTTACTACTTTGTATTTCGAAGCTACACTGAATGAAATGTGCAAGTACTATACTCATTAATTTTTTCTATATAACACACCTAAATAGATCCCTGTCATTTGATTGGTGGATTTCGTATCACATCACATTATTATTTACCCCCATTTCGTCACTCGTCATGGAAATATATTTCCATTCTTGCATTTTCTTTTCATCCGTTTTTTTCCCATTGCACGGTGTCTGGGAATCAATATGACTTCAACCTAATACAATCTTTTCATTGGTTAAAAAGATGCAGGACTGTTCCATTTAGAAAAAGCGTAGATTTTTTCATAACATATTAAACGACAAGAATCTCCATTCAGGAAAAAAAGTAGATTTTTTAATAGAATATCAAATGACAAGAATCTATTTTAGGTGTGTTTCATTCGTTTTCCCATTTCGCTCATAACATTATTTGTATATACTACTTTTATCAGGGCTTTCTTAGAGTGGAAAGCTCAAATAATTAAGATTTTCTTTACAAGGGTGAGAAGGATTGAAAAATCACCTGTAGTTGTTTATTGGCCCATTCTGATCCATCATGCTCCAGGTCATGGAATATTTGTTCTATTGTGTTACCTGCAAACAACATGTCAATCTTCTCTAGGTCAGGTTTTAAACTGAATTCTTGACCTCTCCCTATTTGACACTGAAAAACAATATTAAATCAGCATTTGGATTTCCTCCCTAATACAATTCCAAAATTATTACCTACTCTCTACCTAACCATATATATTTAAAAAAATTGTATTTATTTATTTTTATTTTCTTTTTCAACTTAATAAATATAGAGTCAAAAATACAATACCTGTTTATGATATCTCTCTAATACTGATGCTATATCCTTCTCAACTGGATTGGAGAGGGCAAGTAACTCTTCTTCTAGTTGTGGTAACTGCAAATTAGTGATTCAAGAGACTCAATTAATGTTACTCTTCCATATATCAGGTACACAGTACAGAAATTGATTTTGCTTAGCAGGTTACATAACCACATAATACCTCACAAAGTATACAGCCATATCGAAAGACAACACTTGATTCTACCAACCTTCATCCTTTATAGGACTCATCTATAAAAGATCCGAATTTAATACTCAGCTTAGGAGCTGGGTCTCGAAAACCTGGCCCTGACGTGCAAGAGGCAGGAACCATACCAACCAGCCAAACGCTCAGTTCATGCACGCTAATACAAATATTCTGTGAAAATACTGTTAGTGGGCTTCTCAAAGTGCAAAAGGTTGTGATGCAACATAAATTTAGAACATGCAATACTGAATAGGAGGCCTTCTTGAACTATGGCTTTGGTTATTGCAGTTTTGGCTTATTGCCAATTTATCCAAGTTTCGACGCTTTAGGGTTAGGGTTAATGCAATTAACAAATACTACGCTACCTTTTCTGACTCCACAAAATGTGTTGCAACACCAGATTTATACACATCATGAGCTTTCAACCGTATTCCAGTCAACGAGAGGAAAATACCTAGTCTTCCGCCCAGCCTGGGCATGAAGTATCCACCGCCAACATCTGGAAAAAGACCAATACCTGTCTCGGGCATAGCAAATAGTGTGCGCTCAGTTGCGACTCGGTATGAACCATGTACTGAAAGACCTACACCCTTTATACAATAAAAATAAACCATAAGAAATGTTTTTTAACGTACATATGCTAACTTTATTATTTTATTAACTTTTAATGAATTGCAAATGTAAAACAAAAAAAATTACAATGCACAACAAGTTCCCTCATTAATTATACAACCTCTCAACTAGTGGCATAACTAGGGGTACACAGGGGTTCCCCCTCCCCCACACAAAAAAAAAGCTACTCCCTAGTCACTACCCCTCCCAAACTGAGAATACAAAGCAAAAAAAAAATATGCTGAAGCAGTTAAAAATCACGTCGTATCACAATATTTTTTAAGCTTCCAGCCCCTCACTTAATCATCGATCCCTGCACTTCACCTTTGTGCACCACATTTTTTAATGATCTCCCTCATCAAGATTTAATCTTGGATTGCTGCACAGAAGGAATCGCTTTACACTACACTTCTTTTTCGTAATTTACAGTTTATTTTTGTGGGGTGGATTGTTTTTCATTTCCATAATTTATTTTGCCATTGTTAGGTACAGATTATTTTTATTTTAAATACTAAATTGTTGACTTTTGCGTACTGTATTTAATATCTGCATTTAAATTTTCCTTTTTTATGATGTACCGTAATGTGTAATTTACATTAATTGTAAATAAGGTACCTCACAGCCATAATGTAAAAAACAGCATTGTATTTGTTGATTTGTGTTTCGTGAATAAATAAAGTTTTACTACTTTACTACTACAGCTAGACGGCTGTACAGTATTAGGCTACTGTTTACTTTGGTTACTTACCCCACCCATTGTGATGCCATCAATAAGAGCTATGTAGGGTATATTATACGTGCCAATTGCATTATTCAGCATGTATTCTTCTTTGAAAAAAGTGCCCGCGTTTGGATCTCCTTTACTACCTAAATCAGTGACAGCTGCAAAGAGAGGTAATTTTTTTCAGTTTTTTGTATCCTTGTATAATAGTGAATACATTTTTCTGTACTTTCCTATAGTTAAACTGATGTTTATTGTCAAAACTTTATTTACATGCACCCACGAACTACTCAAAACGTATTTACCTTCATGCACCTCAACATTTAACTCATATTACACACGCACACACATAACTGGCAAAGACAAGCTACACCAGCTATTCGTCAAAAAAATAACAGCATCAACAGAGTGAGTCTGGTAGAATGGCTCTTTATCCCTATTAGCAGATGGTGTTGACATACACCATTTATATCGGTGGCACTCAACAGGTGGTGCGTCAAACATCTTAACTAATACAAAAGTAATCTTAACAAAGCTAATGAAAATATACAGTATAACTAATGAAAATATACAGTAAAGTAAAAGAGAATAAAAATAAAAAGAGACATAAAACACAACAACACAAAGTCAATTTAATCTTTAAGAAGATCACACCTTTTTCTCCATGCTCTTTTAGCTAGTGTTCTTGGTTTAAGACATTTTGCTCTAATTAGCTTGTCTTTTGAAATGGGACGTTAAAAAATTGGTTATTTCTGTGTCCATATAACCACATGTACAAAAAAAAAGAAAGAACTCAGTCCATCATTTGATTGTCTGCCGGTGTACTGAACATGGTAGGTCAAGGCTAATCAGATTCAACAAAGACCATATATACTGCATATTTACGTACATAATTTTTATTCCCACCTTCAGCAAAAGGTGTTTGACACACACAGAGTGGCTATATGGTGAATGGCATAACAAAACTTATTTCTCCCTTCTGCAATCCATCTAAACAATGCAAGCCATAAGAAATAGTTGCAATCAACCAGTCTGTTAAGTGTTGAAGTACGATTCTAATGTTTATGAGCTCTACGTTATATTATATAATTTTTTACCGACTAATCAACTGTATCTTAACTATATATTATCTTTTATTTTAACACGATTTAACTTTAAATTTATTTATGTGTATATATCGAACCTTGAAAAAAGGATTTCATGTAAACCTTTTACGTGACAAAAAAGAGAAACTCTGAAATTGAAGGATGGCTGTGATTGGGTGCTACAGTATTCAACCACAATAAAGTTGAGTTGACTAACCATCAGCACAGCCTGGACCAGGCCTGGAAAAAAGAATGTTGTGCCTCCGACCATGAAAATGGTCTCAATAAAAGCGTCCAGCACTTAATGTTATCTGTACACTATATAGCCCAACAGTTTATTTCTTTTTTAAATGTTTTTTTCCCCTGAAATGCCAGGACATTCCTGACACCTCCGACTGCCGGTCGCGCACTTTTTCCAGCCCTGCCACGGACACCAAGAGAGAATGGCTCTTACCTTTAATATCACCTCCAGCACAGAATGCTTTATCTCCTGCTCCTTTGATGATCACCATTGTTGATTTTGGATCTTCTTCCCATTCCTTAAAAGACACATAGGAATAGTATAAGACACGACATGGACAGAATTAAACCCCTTGATTTCTAGCTAGACTGGAGTCCTAGCCTTTCCTTAGCTACGCTTGGCATACATTATACAGGCAGGCGCTATTGATCGCCTAGCTTGACCTAGGATCAGCCCTAGGTAAGCTAAGCCGAACACTAGCCTATAGTAGGCCCAATGAAACATATTAAAAATATAAGACAGGTCTAAAATTCTGTCAGATAAAAAAGTATACTACATACTGTACTTTAATTATCAAAAGGATATCAAATTTGATGATTAAAACTTAAAAAGTTGGCCTTTTCAATCGTTGTAAAGAAGACAAAGTATTTTACGATTCTCCTTGGTAAAAAAAAAATACATGCCACAATCACAATACAATAAGCATTTCTAATATTTATTCTGTATTGTTAATGAATAATCATCATTAAACATTGTTGAAAAAAAAAAAAAAGTTGTGTATCTTTGGTCTCTTACCTTTAATTTAGGGTATATCTTGCGAATCATAGACAGATTGAGGGCATTAAGTGCCTTTGGTCTGTTTAAGGTGATGATGCCTTTGCTACCCTTTCGTTCAAGAATCACGTCTTCTTCTGATGCCATGGAAGACATTTTTAACTGACTGCATATTATGTTTGTCCGTCTGATTGCAGGTGACAGAGATGTTAACCTGTAAAACCATTAAAATAATATAATAAAGATGTATTATTTAAGCAATATTATAGTTTTCAATTAGAGATTAGAACAAGAAGACATTTTATTCACCAATATAGATACATGGGTATTGCTAAAAGCCTGTAAACCTCAGAAAACACACCTTAAGTTAAACTAGCTTTTGACAATTTCCTTAAAATCTAATAAAACATTTTCGATTGAATTAAATTTACAAAACAAATTTGAGCACATGTTGTACACAAGCTGCAAAACAAATTTGGTAAGCAAAATGCTGAATTTTCCAGCGATGCCCAAATACCGATTCTGAGATTCTCACTACACATCCCATCTCATTCTCATTTAATAACTCACCGAGACAAACACAAAAACATATGGGTAATAGTTGAAATAAAATAAGACCCCAATTCCCATCATAACCGGTCCTACTAACCAGCACCTGGTGGCACCCACTAGTCTAGATGATTTTTAGTTAATTAAGGTCATCTTAGCACATCTACCAGCCTGTTGTTGATTGATAAATAACTTTATTGTTAATATTCATCTGGTTTGTAGTAATTATTTCAAGTTTTGAATTTTTGGTTTGGAAAACGGAAAAGAAATTCTCAATCCGATAAATAATGTGGTTAATCTTTAAAATAAGAGTTATTTATGTTTTGTAAATACAGACCATGGCGCTAAATGCACTTTACTTTAGTAGTACTTCACCCTAACCCTAACCT